CTGATGGGGAGAAATAAGTTTCACGTTACAGTAAAATGCAAAAACAAACCTGGAGGGTTTGTTGAACTGCTTGAAACTATTGCAAGGAATGGCCTAGAAATTACTGAAATCAGCTCCTTCGCCTTTTCTGGCTTCTCTCTGATTGTTTTCGGCGTTGAGGTAAAACACTTTATGCTTAGCAATCTAGAATTTGTTCTGAGCATTGTTTTGTGATGAATTTTTCTTGAACTAATGTCCTCTTTTGTATTTTTCAGGCAAAAGGTGAGAAGGAGATTACCATTGCCGAGTTAAGGAAGCTTCTGTTGATGATAATCGGAGTACCTGAAGAGAATGATAAAGGGGTTACCGTTAATGAGTAGTGGTAATTCAGGGATTTAGAATATGAACTATATAACTTTCAATCCTTATTTCATTAGAAGTTATACAAAGAACTTCTTGCTGTAACTCAAAATACAAAGAACTTCTCGTTTTTCCTTTCTCCAGTTTCAGCCTATTAAATTTAGCATCACATGATTGGTACTAAGATAGATTCAGGAACCTGGCACATCAAAAGCATTAGTGTTAATATTGTATTCACTTATAAATTTATTTTATGAATATCAGATGGATGGTATATTTGTTTATGATTAAAGAGAGTACTCAGTGAGAGAAAATTGAGAGACAATTTTCAGAGTGTTTGTAATATTTCTTCCATTAGTGAAAGATCTGCAGCAGCCCGTAGACGTAGGCAATTTTGTGCCGAACCACGTAAATCTTGCGTGTCCCCCAATTTTGCGCATTTTATTTTTCGCTTCCTCTCAAATCTGGCAATAGGGGAATCCGAGTAATTTCCCAACAACTGGTATTAGAGCTCTGGTTCTAACATCTGTCAATTTTCTGCAAGGTTACTATTCACATGAATAGTGAATTTCGTGAATAGTGAAATTTTGCCGGCGGTATCAACTTGTCGGCAGAGGTGTCTTAATACACGGTGGTTTGTAAAATTATCAGAAACGATCCAGAGGAAATCAGATTCGAGTGGGAGCGATGGCTGCAGATGAAGAGAAGGTAAAAATTGAGAAGTTCGATGGTGCGGACTTCGGCTTTTGGAAGATGCAGATTGAAGACTATCTGTACCAGAAGAAGCTATATCAACCTCTCTCGGGAAAGAAGCTAGATGATATGAAGGATGAAGAGTGGGCTCTCCTCGACAGACAAGCCCTTGGAGTTATCCGATTGACGCTATCCCGCAACGTTGCCTTCAACATAGCAAAGGAAAAGACCACGGCGGGTCTTATGGCGGCTCTCTGTAGCATGTACGAGAAGCCATCTGCCTCAAACAAAGTCCACTTGATGAGGCGGCTGTTCAATTTGCGAATGACGGAAGGCGCATCGACAGCTCAACATCTCAATGAACTCAACATAGTCACAACCCAGTTGAGTTCAGTTGGGATTGAATTTGATGAAGAAGTACGAGCATTGATACTTCTTTCTTCTCTACCAGAAAGCTGGAACGCTACAGTCACGGCTGTGAGTAGCTCATCGGGAAGCAACAAGTTGAAGTTCGATGATGTTCGTGATCTGGTTCTTAGTGAAGAGATCCGACGGAGAGAATCGGGTGAAGCTTCAACCTCCTCAGCTTTACACACGGAGTCTAGGGGAAGAACTTCAGAAAGAAGTTCAAATCACGGCAGATCAAAATCTAGAAGGAGCAAATCTAGATCAGGAAAGAAAGACTTCAAGTGCTACAATTGTGGCAAGAAGGGTCATTTCAAGAGGGAGTGTCGGGCACCGAAGAAAAACACCGGCGCACAGGAGTCTGCCAACGTGACCGAGGAAGGAGGTGATGCTATGATTCTAAGCGTCAACAGTCCGATTGAATCATGGATTCTTGATTCAGGGGCATCTTTCCACTCCACCCCATGCCGAGAAATCATGGAGAACTACGTCAGCGGTGATTTCGGAAAGGTACATCTAGCAGATGATGAAACCTTGAAGATTGTTGGCAAGGGAGACATTCGATTAAAATTGCCAAATCAGACCACATGGAAGCTGCAAGGAGTGAGACATATTCCTGGTCTTAGAAGAAATTTGATCTCTGTGGGACAGCTTGATGGAGAGGGTTATTGTACAACCTTCTCGGGTCATGAATGGAAGATTACCAAAGGAGCACTCGTCATTGCTCGAGGTAAGAAAAGTGGTACTCTCTATATAACCTCTAACTTAGAGAATATCATTGCAGTAACAGATGCAGATGAAAAATCAAACCTATGGCACCAAAGGCTTGGCCATATGAGCGAGAAAGGGATGAAGAAACTTCTGTCAAAAGGGAAGCTACCGGATCTGAAGAATGTTGATGTCGGCCTATGCGAGGATTGCATCTTTGACAAACAGAAAAAAGTCAGTTTTGCAAAGATTGGCAAGACACCCAAGACAGAAAGGTTAGAATTGGTTCATACCGACGTATGGGGGCCATCTCCAGTT